ATACAGTGATTAATAGAGAATACAGTGATTAATAGAGAATACAGTGATTAATAGAGAATACAGTGATTAATAGAGAATACAGTGATTAATAGAGATACCTTGACACCGTCATCGTTGTTACTCATCGAGACTGTTATTCGCTCACCACCCAGGCATCCTTGCTACGTACCTACAAACCTCTACGGGTGATCCCCTACTCCGGTAAGACTCTGTCACCGTAACGTAACCCAACAAACCAGCATTAGTGGAAGTTGACTTCTCTTTCCGCAGGATTACTCCAGAGGATCATAAACCGCAGGGATTCCCGAGATTCCATCGAGGAGCCACTAGGGGTCTCACTCGTCACATTCTCTTGTCCCTTATTTGCAACGCTAGCTAGCTAGCTGCATAGCAACCTGGACCCCACCCGATGCAACTACCCCACCAACCTGGCCCCCAAGGCTCTGCTGAGGCTGTGCCCAGCCATTGTCTAGTGGTCCGGTCGATGAAGCAAATGGAATTTGGTTCGGATTTTCTGGGTCACTGTTGGAAGCAGGCCCGTCAAGGTCCTTCGCCGGGTTATGCGCCCACCGGAGAGATGTGATTGTAGTAATAAGAAACAACACTCTAGTAGGCCTAGTTAGTACGTTATTTTTTTTATACATGGAGAGATTGCCATGCTTACATCTGTGGCACTCCGTGACCTACTGCAACCAAATGGAGTGAGTCATCTTTCAATATACCGATAGCAATAGTAGCCGAAAACCAGAAAATGAAGCTAAGGATATCCACTCCAAGCACAGAGTAGATATGGCTAACAGGTACCGGGTTCTTCCATCGTTGAGATAGTACTTTCTCTGCACCTGCGACGGCAGCCATGGTAGGAGGCATGAGCAGAAATGCAAGGTGCTTCGAACGCCAGAAGGCAATTACAGCCTGGTATAGAGTCAAGAGAATAGTCCAGATAGAGACAAACATCATGAATCTCCAATTTCCCTTAGCATTCTCTTCCTTCAACGCTATAAGAATATAATTAGCTCACATTGTTCAAAAGTCAGAATACAACTAGAGAGGCTCACAAATGCCAGTCAATATCACCATTATGAATGCGATAAACAGTTGTATTCGCCTCCCTAGGCGTATCCATGGGTAAGGTAGGTTCCAGTCAAAGCCAACGGCGAAACAACTGACAGTCATTTGTAGCTGAGCAGTCCACGAAATCGGTGGTAAAGTAGGGTGCAATTGAAGACACTGTAAACTCGTCTAAGATGGCGAATATAGGAGCCTTTGGACAGCAGGATGATGGGCGCTGAGAAAGCAGCAGTAGGATGTATTCTAAGAAATATAGAGGAAAACTTTGCGTATCAAAGGGCGTAAGGTCAAGGACTATATAAGAGCTACGCCTATCATCCGCCATCAGTGACGAAAATGCATATTTGAAACCCCCTTTTCCGTTTCTACAGAAAAATCGGAGCCCTGCTCGAGAACGCCTTTGGGCCTATGCGCATCTGCGTGTTGCTCCTTTAAACTCGTGTTTTCGCTAAGCCCTGATTATCCCTGCCCTGCCCGAAAGCAACCTTGCCCTTGATAGCGGCGGCGTCCACGGCCTGTCGACGCTGCAGATCTTGAACCAGCTGATAGAACCTATCAACCTGAGACTGGGCCCCGCTACCAGAGCCAAAATAGGACCCGCAGCAGGTTCAGTAGACCTGTCGCCTATTAACTTAATACGCGACCCGTGCGCCGGGATAGCAGGGATGATGTGATATGAGACTTGGCACGAAGCTTCGCACATGCCACCATAGTGTCACGAGAGTCGTTCGGTCTTCTGGATAGCTTAACAAAGGCTTTCTATTTAGTCTCTATTGTGTGATAGTCTATCGTACAAGACGTTGCGTAAGTAGCTCCGTCAGAGGTCCTTCGCAAATCTACCTTATACCAGAGCTAGCCTTACCACGGCCAGGCTCCGATTCCTCTTCGGTCGTCTCTCAGCTAGCCTTCAGAATAGCCCTGGCTTGGCCTAACTCTAATTGAGGTTCGGATGACTTCCAGTTAATCTCCGAGCTAGCCCTTGCGTGAACTAGTTCTAAATGTAGGTCAAGTCGATGGCTCAGTGATTTGGCTTGTGCGCAGCAAGCGGCAGGTTCCGATCGCTGTTCGAAGTATACTTTGTGTAACAATTGGCTTGAATCGTTCTATTTAAAGATACCTGACAAGCCTATAGCCAAACGTTCCGCGTATCTGCCCCAACCCTGCCCTGCCCCCTGCGCTACCTCTATCTCTAAGTATTTAGATGCATCTCTTCTCTTAGCTAGCTTAGTAGTTTTTCTAATATCCTTTTATATAAGGCCTATAGGTGTTAATAGAATTCCTAGGTTTCTAAGTCTCTATGCACTTTTATATGTCTTTAAGTAGATTTACACTGCATTTAGACCTATTATCTAACCTATACTATTATATTATATTAGAAAGCTTACTTTTACTAGTAATAACCTTTTTAATAATATTATATTAATTATTGTAAAGCAAGCTTGCGAGTGAAGTAATACTTAAGAGTAAATAACAGCTGTCTAATTCTCGGCCCTAATTAGGTTTCGCAAAATTCCCTCTTGAGAAACCTAAGGTTTATGCCAATTTAAGATTAGTCATCTAGAAATTGGTTAATTGTTCGCTTTAATTAAGGGAACGCGTTCTGGCTCTAGCTTGACGCGTTCCCGCCCCCGACACATTCTGGCCCCCGCAATAGTCATCCTCTTTATTGCACCTTGCGGTCTCTAGCGTTGCGCCTGTTCCTTTCACCGCCTAATACTGCCACGCCACGCCTAATACTGCCACCCATGTCCATTGCCCACCCTCCATGGGCGATATCTACGCCGCCACATCTGCAAATAGCCTGATTTTTGGTCTTATGATAGCTTCCAGGCTGCTCTAGCTTTGAAGCGCTGTAGAGCTGCATTATAATTGCTATTACGTTGCTGGGAACGCACTGTATGGCTGCTAGGTACCTCTCTATAAATGTCACGGTTTGACAGAAGGAAGTATACTGTGCTCGCACAGTATCCTAACAATGCAGCAAATTGCAGAACAATGCATCAAATTGCAACAAGAAGCAGCAAATTGCAACAAGACGCAGCAAATTGCA